CTGCTCTGCGGCCAGGACTCTCGGAGACATGCTATTAAAAATAAATATGTATATACATGAACACAAGAACACCGTTAGCTAAAATTCCTGTTAAAAAAACACCTGGAAGCGGTTTCCACTGCGGCCAACGCTAGGCCGCCCCCGCACGTCCCGAAGCCTGCACGGCTCCCTGGGCCATCGCACCTGCTGGTGAGAGGGAGGGCCGGCAACAACGCCAGGCTCTGGCCGAGTGAATGTAGTACAAAAGGTTAGGCTGCTCGTCCGAGATTTGATCGTGCCTTCCTAAAGATGACAGCGTGCGGAGGGCACCGGCGGAAAAGCGGCGTCTCCCACCCCCCAGAGACGGTGGGGGTGTGAGGGGCAGTGCCCGCCAGGCGGGAAGGGGCTGACCTCCCCTCCCTCCGTCCAGGGAGGCAGGGAGGGAGACCGAAACACTTGGAGGAGGGGGAAAAAAGGGGAATTCAAAAGCTGCGTCCTTCCTTTAGTAATGGTGACCTATAGAAGACTTTCCACCCTTGGCTTCAGCCACCAGAACGATTTCTGTGGCAACAAGTTTGCCGTTCCTTTTCTGCTGGGTAATCACAGACCGGGACCTCTGCAAAGCCATTCGTTCCTCCTCTGACCTGTAAGGGGTTTTAAACACCAGGAAAGGGGAAGGGGAAAAAAAAAATCAATCTAATTTCTGACTGAACTTTTAGATTAATTCCTGCATCTTAAACTATGCACACATAGGAAGATTTTGGTATTATTGATCTGATCTGTAATCCATGTCTCCATACAGTCAGGGTGACGATAGTTACGTGGCCTAAAAAGCAGTTTACTCCTTACCCGTAACAAAAACTATATAATGAAACACCCGCTTTGTGGGAAGCTACAGATAACGAGGTACTTCTATGCCGAGAGACCAATTGGCTGTAAAACATTAACTTTACATATGCTTGACACTTCAAAATATAAGCTTTGTTCAAATCTCTGTCTTTATAACATTTACTGCAAGGTGATAACAAATGTTACAACTCAGAATTCGCCCACAACGCAGTGATTTGCAGCTGGCTGTATGTCTGGAATCCGCTGATAAAACTCAGCTTGGACCAATGTTCACGGCCTATAGCAAGGTCTTTATTTGAAAAATATCAGTAAAATGTTTTCCACGGACACATAATAAATACAGTATTATAAAAAAAAAATCACAACCATTCAAAACTCCCAGAACAAGATGTTTTACATACATAAACAGCAAACATGCCAAAGAACTGTAGTCTTAAATTCTGAACTGACCTGAAAAAGTTCAGAAAGTTGAACGATTTTTTTATAGAGATATTTTTTCAGCCTTAGCACAATGTGCTTTGTAAATCACAGTTTTAATAAACTATCTTAATACTTATCACACTTGCATTGTACATTATCTGTGGCACTAGTTAACAGATAACCGCATTACAAAGTCCACAGATACTATAACAGCTGACTAGAGTTCAGCTCAGCGTCTTGCTGCTGCGGCTGCTTCCAGAAGAACGATCTCCTCCAGTGCAACACAGTTGGGGTGGCTGGTTACGGAGTGGACGTAGCAGCTCAATAACCCCACCTCCTTTCCCAGCACACTCTGCACCTCATAACTCTGCAGTGATAAAAGCATGTTGATTAAAACAAACAATACTGGACATTCTGTTCTAAGCAGTATTCGGCTTGGAAGATGCAGGGTGCAAGGTCCTCTTCCAACAGACAAATTTTTTTAAGGACTCAGAAAGAAAGGTGCATTAGAATTGACAGAAATCATGAATACATTAGATTTTCAATAATTAGATCTCACTCCTGCTTAAAGTGCTGCTTCCCTACCAGGTTTTTAAAAATGAGCTGTTAAAGAAAAAAAAAAAATCTACTCTGACTTTGAACTCAATTTTGCTGAAGCATAACCTACATGTCCACCCTTTTTCTAGCTTTCTGACACTCGTAGGAATTCACATGTGCTAGCGATGTGTATATACATACTATAGATCAATTACCTTAGCTAACAGATTCACTAAAAGGGAAAATATTTTGTAAGTCCTTTTACTCCCCCTCTCCCCCTTTTAACTTTGTTTTGTGTCATGCATCGTTTATGATCACTGGCACCTACACAGTCCCTTCTGTTTAATGATCCGACTGGCAGTTTACCCACGCGTTGTGCCTGAGCGAATTTGTAAAGACTCTATTCTGCGTGGAGGAGAGGGAGGCGAGGCTGGGATGATTTCTCTAAGATGAGAGGGCACGTTACCCGAAGAACTGGTAGCACCGATAGCTGACCCTCTGCCCGAGAGGGTATCTGTCTGTCTCGGATGGCAGGTTGACATCCATTTCTCTCCTCAGCGGGACTTGCCTACGACCAGCCTCTGACCATGCCCCCCGCTTTCATCTGGGCTGTGCATTTGTACAGGTATGCGATACCCACATCTATGGCTGATCCAAGCCATAAACAACCGTTTTCTTTCTTTTTTTTTTCCTAGATCATTTTTACCCCAGACCGGTTCTGCAGTCCAATTCACCATGCAGCTGCACAAACAGCTACACTGCTGTAACAGAGGGGTTGTCACAAGGTAAGGAATAAGAGGCCAGGGGCAGTGGCAGCTAAAACCAACCTCCCTACCAAAAGAAGCGATTACAAAGCTACGCTCTTAGAAACTTCAGCACCACTGGCAAAAAAATGCCACCTCAAGTGGTATTTCTTGTGATTAATCTTTGTTGAGATGTGCTGCTTTCTAAAATGCAGCAGTTCAGAGACACAAATGCTTATAAAAAAAAAAGGGAAAATTATCCCTTTTATTTCAGGTAGGAAAAAAAAAATGTTTCTAAGTTGCCAGACTTCTAAATACTACCATTATAAGAACTGAGGCATGAAAAAGAGGTTGTTTGAATTCTAATAACTCAGAAAAGAACTATGTTTTGTCAGTCTGTAACCAAACCAGACACATCCTGTAAAACTTAGCAAGACTTAACTGCTATTAAAAGAGCAAACATATTTTGGAAATTTCTTGTATCTCTTTGCTTAAAGGAAATATACACCCTCCACCCTAAGAAAAATAATTTATGACTTCAGAGCAATGTTCCACTGTAAATTATCCATAAATCTCATTAAAACCATGGAGCACGTAATAGCAAAATGCTAGAAGCCTATACAAGACAGGGTAAGCACAATGACCCCAACACGTGTCACCTAACTGAAGATATTTAACTGGGATGATTAAACAAGACAACGAGCTGACCTTTGCTCCCTTCCACATGCAACAGAGAGGGGGGGATCTCAGGATGCTAATTGGACTTAATCACCCTCTGAAGGTGCCGCTCCTTCACTGCTGACCACCCGGCAGCCAATGCCAGCCAGGCACCTACCAGCGTGCCTCCCTCACCTGCGATAAATCTGGGTCACTGTGCCAAATGTCAGGGTTCTTCTGATACCTCGGATTAAAGGAATAACTACTTCACCATTACATAAACTGTACTTTAGCCCATGGATCCCTGTGGCTTACGTGTCTTTCATTCATACAATTATACAGAATTATCTTGCCTGCATTTTGCAAATTTCTCTACTATTCCCACCTGCCAGTACTTTCATTGTTGTGCCATTAGAAAGTAGTTGGGGTTTATAGGGTTTAGACGACCAGCCCAAAAAGGTGGGTTGCTTGGACTGTGTCTTTGCTGTCTTTGGATCCTCAGCCAGAAAATGGAGTAAAGCCCGGCACTGGTCGTAGCAGCTCTGAATGTCTGGACATCGTGCTATTTGCAGGTAGCTCTGCAGACCCGCAGCTCAGCTAAAGCTGTCTACACCTCCCATCTGCGGCACCCCTCTTCTAAAAAGGAGGGTGTCAGCCTGATGACAGTCATGCGATAGCAGGGCATCGGCAGGTGGGATTGCCAAAGGGTCCAGCCCACTCAAATCCCAGGCTGGACATGAGAAAAAAATTCATTATTTCTAGTGAAATCATCTACTGCTCCTAGTGCAGTTCTGAAATGAGCTGCCTGGAAAGGCAGAATCTCCATCCTTGGAGGTTTTCAAGACCCTGCCAGCCAAAGTCACGGCTGACCTGCCTACGCATTGGCCACAGCTCAGTGTCAGTGGTAGGCTGGATGATGACCTCCAGGAATCCCTTTCATTTCTATGATTCGACTATCTTCCCACCTGATTCACGTCTCCTGTACTCTGCCTCTACAGTAAGTTATGTACTTTAACTTTCTTTTGCCAACATTCATTATACCTACCCCATCCTCATTGGCGGAGGACATCAGGAGAGGAGAGATTGTCCTTTGTAACAGCTGGAATGAGAAAATTAACAGGTTTTGTTCATGACAAAAATCTTATGTATGCAAAGATGTTCTGTTCGCAGGTTAAAACAGTCACGTTGAACAAAGATTTCTCATTTTAATATAGAATGGTTTTATTTCTCTGGCCAAGAATGCAGAGGAGAGACGACACAAAAGATGTTCAGAATGGGAGTCTAAAAATACATGTCCCTTTTAGGCTGTGGAGACTGAGGTTTCCCAAGGCCTAACCCAACAAAGCCCTTCAGCTGGACCATAAAACAGCTTGCAAACCTCTGGGTGAACTTGATGACTGTATTATTTGAGTAAGATCTGGGAAGTGGGTTCTTAGTTTTAGCCAAACCAGGACAGCCCAATGAAACACAAGTTTAGTATCAGATTAAATAATGGGATATTCTTACGTCTTTTAATTTTTCTTCTGACAGAGCTGTTCATAAAAGTGTGGCTTAGAGTACCTGTGTCCACACATCTAGCCTCACTATACTCAATACACCGAAGCTATTTTGTGCCATACCTTTACTTTTACTGTACTTTGAGATCGGGATGGACAACTCAAGAAGACTTCCAGCTGCATTTTCAAAACCGGTGAAATGACAACTTCAGAGCACCGGTTGCAATATAGCAATCCTCTGAAACACACAAATAATGATGGAAAAACAGAGAAAAGGAGAAGCTATCAGTTTTAAATCAAAACACACAAACAATCAGGTAGCTTAATCTCTAAAATACTTTGCTGGTAGACCTTTAGTAGGAAAGCCCTGGCAGAGGTTCAGTTGATAATAGCAAATAGAGCTCTTCTGTTGCTAGAGCTAAGCAATGCTCTTGGAGGACCTAAACTCTTCCAGCAAAAGGATCTTCCTTTTGTAAGTTTTGGCAATAGGAGGGGAGGTTGCTATTTATAGTCACCCCACTTAAGCAAATATTACTTTCATAACCTTCTAAAAGTTACGGCAAAAGAAAATTTGTAGTATAGCTTCGGCCGAAGTGACTTATTGATTTAGGCCCTCGTTCAGCAAATGTTGAACATTTTCCGCACACACTTAAGTCACAGGCATAAAATTAAGCTCAGCTATAAGTGCTTGTTGGAATAATGTCTTAAACAAATATTGATGCTACATTGTTCTCCAAATGAAGCAAAAGTGTCCTTCACAGTAGAGATTTTTTTTTTAATTGAACTACACTACTATGTGAACGTACACACATCCTTATTTTTTTGCATTACAGTATAATATAGGACAACTTCTTTTTTATTTTCAGCCTTTTTTCCCCCGGAGGCTATACATAACAAAGCGTAAGTGGTAAAGCTTCTCACAGTTAGGAAAATATTCTCTATTTCAATGGGATCAAACCCACCCAACTTCTCCTTATGCTTTTTCTAAGCTTTTCCAGTAGAAAGAACCCCGCCTTCCCTTCTTTTTACACTCTGACTACTCTCTTATCCTTTCGTGTTTTTATCCCATCAGGTATCTCAGACTCTGCAAGAGCAAGCTGGCTAAGCAGCTGAAGGGGAGGCTTTCCAAGAGCATGCCAGCGTGACGCAGGTTTAGCATTTCAGGTGGTAACAGGTCTGGTAGGATCAGTCTTCACATTTGGGACAGTCGTACGCCCAGAATTATCCTACATCCTTTTTAGAAAAGTTATAAATTTAATGGGTCTGAAACGCAACTCTTTCACACTTAGGTAAATTACAGCAAAGATCACAGTTCAATATAAAAATGAGGTGAATTGGTGGTATGCAGGACAAGACGACAAGCAGCTACTTTTAAAGCAGCGTAAAATCAGACCTGTGATTTATGTGGATGTTTATTAAAACTAATATTATAATGCAGTGGGCTATGAAATCTTTATAAGCAATACTTTAAGATTTGTTTGAAAAAAATGTGGTAACTGCAAATTCAAACCATTTCATATCTACTTGTATCTTTCTTAATAAATTAATGTAACCTTGCAGGTTTTATCAGTTCATCAGCAATAAAAACACTACGTCTTAGTTCTAGGAAGGAACAAAGTGCAGCCTGTGCCTGCAGGAATCATTGCATCACCAATTGCTGTTACGGCTACATCTGCAGAACACCTGGAGTGCTCCGGAGCGTGCTGACTCTCACCTGTCCTGGGGACACAGTTCCAACTTTCCATTGCCACATCTGTCACAGGTAGGCCAGGAGAAAGCAGTGCTCTCATTAACTCCAACAACAGTACCTGTAGAAGATGAAATTCTTACAAAATACTAACCTTAAGCTAGCAAACACAGTCACTCCTGGCTTCACAGCAGGTTTGATCCTTTCTGACTCTCAGCTTAAGATTTGTCAGAGCAAGCACCAGCTTTTCCAACAATCTCATTCCCTTTCTCCTTCGTCCCTCCAACAAGGGATGACACTATGGCAGAATGTGTTACGTTCTAAAAATACCAGAAAGTAGGTAATTGATAATTAACTTTCCAAACAACTTCTGTTCAAAATTTTGCTTTTCTGATTCGTTCTTGTTTGTTTTCTTTCTGGTCCTCTGATGTTTCCTTGGCAATAGGTAGCTACAAAAATCATCAGGTCAGATAGCTTGATATCAATATTTAGGAAACACAAACCCATGAGAAGACGCAATCCCTTTCAAAAACAACGATGCATATTAAATTCCATTAACAATGGAGTTATTCTTCATTTATACTGATTTAACAGAGATTAGACCTGGCTCACAGACTTAAATGCGTACCTAAGAAGGGAATGCCAAAGATACTTTGGACTAATATAAAGGGCTTTGCTAGTTTTGGCAAGAAAAAGTATATCCAGAGTTCTATGAGAAGCCAGTAAAGAATGTATTATGTTTTATGGTGACGATATGCTGAAATTACGAGCATTATTTATGGAGAAAACACATCCAAATATTTTGAAGTGTACAAAGTGGATCACCTGTAAGAACGAAATTACACTAAAATAAACCCTCGCTGGTACAACAGAAGTACAGACTAAAAATTCCAGCTTCTATTGAGCAAGAATCTCACGGTTTTATACTGCATTCAATAAAAGGAACCCCTGGAGCCTAGGGAGCATTTACACTGTCTGGTCTGTAAGACAGGGTGTTAATTCCCTGCTTTCCTGGTTCTCCTGGGGTGAGGACTGACAGAAAGGAGGGAGCTATACATAAACAACAAAACTGTAATTTTCTTTGGGAATTCAAAGGACAGCAGGTCCAAAGATCAGGAAAGGTACTTCTCAAATACAACATTTATGACCCAATTTCTATGCATATAATGAAACAACATGGATTTCACTGACAGTGTATTTAAGACCTTGGACTTTTAGAGGAATAATTTTGATTCTACAGTTTTTGTGATAAACTCGGAGTTTCCATCAGTACTTGCTACTACAAGGTAGGATGCTTTCTGCCACAGCATGGGCATGTTTCTCTTTGATTGAAGTGAATGGAGTTAAATCCCATTGGTGGCCAGTCACAAGTGGCGCTCCCCAGGGCTTGGTATTGGGGCCAGTTCTCTTTAATCTTTATCAATGATCTGGGCAAGGGGATCGAGTGCACCCTCAGTCAGTTTGCAGATGACACCAAGTTGGGTGAGTGTTGATCTGCTGGAGGGTAGGAAGGCTCTGCAGAGGGATCTGGACAGGCTGGACCCAGGCTGGGCCGAGACCAACTGTATGAGGTTCAAGAAGGCCAAGTGCCAGGTCCTGCACTTTGGTCACAACAACCCCATGCAACGCTACAGGCTTGAGGACAAGTGGCTGGAAAGCTGCCTGGTGGAAAAGGACCTAGGGGTGTTGGTCGACAGCCGGCTGAACATGAGCCAGCAGTTTTGGGCTCCTCACGACAAAAAAGACCTTGAGGTGTTGGAGCGAGTCCCAAGAAGGGCAACGAAAGTGGTGAAGGGCCTGCAGCACAAGTCTGATGGGGAGCGGCTGAGAGAGCTGGGGGTGTTTAGTCTGGAGAACAGGAGGCTGAGGGGAGACCTGATCGCTCTCTACAGCGACCTGAAAGGAGGTTGTAGCCAGTTGAGGGTCGGCCTCTTCTCCCAAGTAACAAGGGATGGGATGAGAGGAAATGGCCTCAAGTTGTACCAGGGGAGGTTTAGATTGGATATTAGGAAAAATTTCTTCACCAAAAGGGTTGTCAAGCCTTGGAACAGGCTGCTCAGGGAAGTGGTGGAGTCCCCATCCCTGGAGGTATTTAAAAGATGTGTAGACATGGAGTTTAGGGACATGGTTTAGTGGTGGGCTTGGCACTGCTAGGTTAATGGTTGGACTTGATGATCTTAAAGGTCTTTCCCAACCTAAATGATTCTGTGATTCTTGTTCATGGAAAAGCAAAGCTACCAATTAGCTTGCAGAGTATGTTTCCTTCTTCATTAAAAAATCATTTTAAAAACAAAACAAAATCTCCTTTTCTGACAGATCTGTTTCCTCTCTAAGCCTTCTACCTTTCCCCCAACTGTGTGCCATATTGCAACTGCAGGATGCCAGTCCACAAGTAATGCAAGTACATTTGAAGAAAATGAATCAGGATCATACTGATGAGATTATGTCTAGTGGAGAGGTTTACTTTGATGACCATGTAGAGTTCCCTTGAGAAAACCACCAGAGATCACTGAAGTAAGAACAACTCAAAGCAGCAACAGGTCTAATAACCTAGTGACAGTCTTGTGCAACCTGCATGCAAAGTAATTTCTCATGTTTAAGCTGCTGAACTGCTGCACATCTTTGTCAAGACTCTAGATTTTGCTTGACGTTCACAAACCTTTTGGATATTTTTCCAAGATCCTTCTTTTAAATGGAAATGCACATAGTCAAAATCTGATTTTTACCTCTAGTCTATTTTTACGGGTTGTGGCTGACATCATTAAGAAGAGACTGGTAACAGGACAACACCTGGAAAAACAGGTCTTTGGTGAAGAATGCAAAGAAGGGCTGAGGATTAAAGGTAACACTCTGGTTGAAACGTTCAAAAAATGAACGTGTATTTTTTTTTTCCAATCAGTTACCCTGATTATTGGACAGGAAGGGGAAAAGTTCAATCAAAAAATGTAACTTAGGTAAGCTTAGTGACCCCATTTTATTCACACTGTTAAGAGGGAAACTGAAAAAAACCCCACCCCTGAGTAAAGTCTTAAGTATGAAAATAACCAATGTCAAAATTCAATCAGTGGTGGTGAGTCATATACTAGGCAAATATCATTAATCAAGTAATATTCCCACATAACATATGTGGTATTGACTAACTAGAATTTGCTCATAAGCATGGTTAAGAGGAAAAACAGTTCTGTGCAGTATGAACTGCCAACATTTATGTCATCCTGACTGCTACTATACAGCAAAAAGAGGTTAGAAATTACTTTGCAATGCATAGTGACAAGAAAATAAATCTATTAAGCCTGAGCTCACAGGTGACAACCACAGACTCATCTTTAAAAGAAGAACAAACTTTCTAGTAGAAAGCAACCACAGGTTTTCACTCATCTGTTGAAGAGCAACACTGGTGACTGAGTGACCTATAATTCGGCAGGCAGCATGGCCTGTGTCCTCCCCCAAGTCCTGGCACTCCTCGAGGCTCCAACGCTGTGAGCAATGGCTGTATCTGAGAATGGGGACTTGAATGACTACCTGCATTTTTCACTGGTTAAAAAGAAGTTTTTTTAGGGAAGGTTGAGCCTCTCAAATCCCTGAGAGCCAGGAGGAGCAGCCGTGACTGCAAAGGAGCAGGAAGGAGTGCTACTTCAAGAAGCGGGAGGGTGAAGCCTTTGCAGCCTCTTTAAGTGTTAGGTGAGAGGATGCCTAAGTACAGCATACGTAGGTGACCAAAAGTACAGGAAGTGAAAGGAGGGCGCAAAGAAAAAGACCGAACAAGGTAATACTGCTTCTCATTGAAAGCCAGACTAACAACTCTGAGTTAAGAGACAGAGACAGTGAGTGAATTTTAGAGATGATAAATTTTCCTTCATGGGTTACTCCATCAAATACATACTCTCCCACCAACAAAGTAGGGTTAATGCTATTAGTTTCACTTCATCAGTAGAAAGACGTAGGTACTAAATAACTGAAATCCAAAACAGTGGATATATGTCTTAAATGCTATTAAAAATTTTCACTTACACATAAAAGTGGGAGTTATCACCTATATCTATATCATTAGCACAGGCATGAAGAAGATACTTTATATTCTATGTTGGTACCAAGGTGTGGGAACATACTGGTAACACCCACCCTCAACAAATTTCAGATTAAGAAAGACAGGGTTGTAGGACTAATTTCTCCTTTTGTCATTCTTCCATCTGTAATACAGAACAGGGAAAGCTGACACCTCCCATGTGTGTAAATTAAGTACTTGTTTACACAATAGATCACAAAGGTGTGTTTTCTTTGCTCTACTGGAATAAGGATAGAGAAATGTTTGCTTTATCCAACTATGTGCCCTGGCAATGGGACAAAAGAAGACAGACACTCTCATACTAAGTTATAAAATTAACAGCAGAGAAGTGATAATTCTTAGCATAACTATTGGAGAGGTTAAAAAAAAAAAACAGCCAAAAAGTATTTCACACCCAGTAACACAAATATCTTTCAAGTAACTCATAAGATCACTGTGAGATGTACATAACAACCCAGGCTTTGAGCGAAGTACCTCTAGTTGTGCTTGTTTTTCATTATGCAGTGTTAAGAGTTCAAGATTTGTCACTGCAAGGTGCTCCTTTATTAATCACAGAGGCGGCATTGCTAACTTGTGGCTCTACCATAAGAGAAGGTATGCCTAGTAACAGCTTTGCGTGGTTTCAAACTGTCTTTTCAGTGCGTCACGTTATAGCTGGAAGGATTAATTTGTGACCATTATTTGCTATTATTTTAAAGCTCATTTCAAATGCTCCAGTGAGTACTTAAAGGTGTAAATGTAAAACAGTATCAAGAATTTTCTACAAAGGCTACTGGAATCATAAGAGTTAAATTAAGAAAGGAAATCGTCTCTAAAAACCAAGAGTTGCTGGGCTTTTAAGGACTTTTCCCTATAGGCACTCTCCAACTGGGAGGTTTAAGAAGCTGACTGGACAAAGCATTAGAAAATACACAGTAGGAAATGTTTCTGCATGATTAGGAAATGTTAGAAAATACATTGTAAAAAATGTTTCTGCATAGTTAATGGTAGGTCTGAAATATTAGACAAAGCAATGATCCAAAGTGGCTGGTAAGCAAATACTGGCCAAGTTATGCTAGATGACTATGGTGAAATATTAAATTGCCCCACTGCAGCAAAGCTCCAGGGAAATCAGACACTAACCCCTACCGTTCAGGATCTGGCTAACATATCTTAGCCATCTGCCTAAAAAATACTGGTATACCTTACTGTTGCCAACATCAACAAAGCTAGTGTGAACAGAAGGCTCCTGAAAGAAGACGGCAAAAGAAGGAATATTATAAAACAGATTGTGCATCAAACATTTATTCTGGGGTATGAGTGAGTGGGAGCAGAGATTGGCCAGCAAAAGGCAAACGGAGCCCAAAAGAAGTATAAAAACTTAAATATCCTAATGACCCACAGCAATACTATGCTTTTTTTTCCCCTCCACACTGTTTGTGCAAGAAATCAATAGGAAGACATAAAAGATTAAAGTGAGCACAAATAATTAACCGCATTCATTTCAGGAAAGGCCATACAAACCTCTTACAGCACAAACGGAGTTGGCCTGTGTTGTAGAATCCAGCTCATCGAGTCTGACAGGGCCAGTCAGCTCACTGAGGTCAGCACCGGCAGCCGAGTACAAAAGAGGCTTTTGTAATAAGAGAACAGTACGTTCAACACAAATAATCCTACCTGCCAACAAAGACATTTCAGCTCAGTACAGTAACAAGGAAAAAGGTGACCATGTTAATTGTCATGGCCAATAAAGACAACGATCTCTGCCAGCTACTAAACAGATGGATAGACTCCATCAGGTTTTCTCAATGACAAAATATTTTGCTTTCAGCGATACATGCATCATGCTCTTGTTACACTTTGCAACTCCCAGGGAAAAAAGATGTTTTAAAAATTCGAACATGACAGAAGAGAGTCCGATTCCACCTGGACTGCATTGCACCCTGCTCCCTGCAAACAGAACATTTCTGTCTCTTCCCTGGTCATAAGCTTGGGCATCCCTTCAGGTAGTCCTTACTTCGTTTCAAAGATTACAAAGAGTAGGTGCATGCAATGCTTTATTCTCCAAAGCAGAGATTTTTTCCTTCAGGACACACAGCTATTTACACAGCTTGGTGCTTCCAGTCCATTTACATTTTGGAAGTGACTGAAGGCGTGAGGTGTGAACTACCCATCCAGGCACCATACAGAACCATACTTGAACCTCAAAAAAGAATGACTAAAAATGAATGTAAAGTAAACTACCATCATTCCATGATCTGTATGGTGGTGAAGGCTCACAGCTATGATGGTATAGGAGAGTTTGTAAAATTTCTGTATCCAGGGACATGCATGTCTCCTTTGCTCCTTTTAGAGGTAGTTAAGGTCTATAAGACAAGTTTCTAGAAGAATATCAAATGAAATCAAGTTTCTTAATATTTTGGAGTCTTCTGTCAGCTAGCAAATTTGATTACATTGTTCATTAGATTCAACCAGCGCCAGGGAAGACTGACAGTAATACTGGTGGACATACAGCAGGATCACTGAATTTCCCATTTATTTTGGAGATCAAGCCAAAAATGTGAAAAAGAAACCTTACAGGAAAGCTCTAATTACAACTCCTTTCAAATTTCTCATCCCAAACTTGCAATGTCTCATCTTCATTTTAGAATGAAAGTCTTTGTAGGTCACATATTGCAGTGTCAAAGATTAGGATGCTATTTCAGTTTGATTCCAACTGCTTCAAAACCAGGTGTAAAGCTTACCATTTCCCCACAATGCATCCTTGAAGAAGACGAGTTGCGAGTCAACACTGAGGGCTTCCATGATTTCTGTACTGAGAACACACGATGCAGCGACTGACACAGCAACAACTTTTGGAATCGTATGAACTGCATTTTGCAATGTGGCATCAGTCACAAACAACAAAATCTCTCTTTGATTCATAGCAACAGCGTGTTTTGTCTACAGTTTCCAAAAAAAAAAAAAAGAAGATACAAAATTGGAATGCAGTTGTTAATTTTTAGTAGAAGGAAAGACTAAACAACACCCTCATACTTTAATAACTAATAAAACTGACAGAAATTTTTACATTTAGGGCTCATACAGGATAAAAAATCAAAGCTTTATTGGAATTTTTCATTATTCCTTACTGCAGATATAAACACCTCTACCATATATTAACTTTCCGACGTGGACCCTCTGGAATCTTGGCTTTACCTCTATCAACTATCACACTTTATCACAACTTACTTGGACAGTACAAGGGATTTGAAAATATATTTTATTTTAAAAATACGA